AAAATTTCCTCAGAGATAGTAACTAAACCAACCTCAACTCCCAGCTGGCTTCATTATTCTCTTGTCCTCAATATAATAAAAACTTTCTAGCATTTATACCTAAACAATCTGGGGAAAACTTCTTCTATATAAATTGTAAAGTTCTTAACTACCTAAATCTAGCCATCCCAATGCATTATTTTATAATTAATGCACACTGTTAAGACCTCCCCCATTAAGCATCTTGCTAACACATAAGTAAATAAAGGGTGTAAACTTGGATATTACATATATAAAACAATATTTTACAAAGTTTAAAGCATATGGTAATAAGTAAAGCTACTGACAAGCTTTACAATGAATGAGAACACTATCAGTGCCAAGCGGAGATCATGTTAGACACTGTTGCTGGTTTTGCATGGCCTGGCCTCTGCTCCTCTCCTCCTGAATGCCCTCTCTTCTTGCTCACTGGCCCTGTCCCACTGACCTTCAGACACTCCTTCCTGCCCCAGGCCTCCTCTACAGGCCAGTCCTAAAGTCTATCACAGTGGCCTCAGGAAACAAGTTTTCTACTAACTTTACACTCACATATCACCTCCCAAGAAATACCTGCATAAGAATCACTAACTTCTAACTCAGCTCAGGGATCACCTGGCACAGTACTTGACACTTAAAAAACGCTTTGCTTAGTCTCTCCAAAAACCAAGCACTTATTTAAAATGCTGCTTCAAGCCAGATACACTTTGGGAAACTTGCCTTTGTTGTGCCTGCTGTTCAATGCCCAACTCACAGAGGGCAGGCCCCTCCACGTGCATAAACATAGTCAAAGCGGTTGCTGAAACGGTGCTCTCTTTCATCCCTCCCAATAACTAACTGCACCAGGAGCTGCATCCCATCCCAGGAGTGCTCAGAGCCAAAGGTCACCTCAAAGCTTTGTCCTCACAAGGTGCCTGACAGGTACCCCCAAAGCAGGCCCGGATGTCCCCTTTACTGGTATAAGGGACTGCAGACAAAAAAATATTCTCTCTAGGTTCTACAGAGCTGGGCTTAGGAGGAGAGGTTGTTTCTCTGGAAATCCAACTCCATCTTTTAGAGACAATGAGAATTTACTGCTAGAATTCTGTTAAAGCCATATGGTGTCTGGGCACTCCAAAACCTTTGCAAGGATAATGACTTTCTAGGGACCGTACAACAATGAATGAGAACACTATCAATGGAAAAACGTGGAACACGTTTTTCCATTGTAAAATGGTCAATTTACAAACATTTGAAATGGGATCCTTCTGTACATTTGGGACTGCCTCCATGTGACCAAGCAGCAAAAACAAATGGGGATGTTTGTAGGACTCGACTTTTCAGGCTCACAGTGGAGACCTCGCCGAGTTATTTACATTTCAGCAAACTGTTGCCCAGGAACAAAATTAAAATGTAGCTTCAAACGTTGGTGACACATGGTAGAACTTTTTGTTTCAAATTTTAAAAAATCGACTTACATTTCTATTCCTCAACTACATGATACAATTAAGGAAATTTTAGCCAGTTTTATCTCATAAGTACAGATGATTGACGCCATCCCTGCCCCAAGAAGATTTTTAAAAACTTATTTAAGAAGGCCAGGCATGGTGGCTCACACCTGCAATTCCAGCACTTTGGGAGGCCGAGACAGGTGGATCACAAGGTCAGGAGATCATCTTGGCCAACAGGGTGAAACCCTGTCTCTACTAAAATACAAAAAATTAGCTGGGCATGGTCCCAGCTACTCCAGAGGCTGAGGCAGGGGAACTGCTTGAACCCAGGAGGTGGAGGTTGCAGTGACCCAAGATCATGCCACTGCACTCCAGCCTGGCGACAGAGTGAGACTCCATCTCAAAAAATAAAAAATAAAACTATTTAAGGAAAGTCTATCAATTTCAAACAGGAACATAAATCTGGCATGGTGGTTTATGCCTGTAATCCCAACACTTTGGGAGGCTGAAAGCAGGAGGATTGCTTGAGAATAGGAGTTTGAGGCCAGCCTGGGCAACATAGCAAGAACTCATCTCTATTAAAAATTTTAAAAAGGCCAGGCACATGGCTCACGCCTATAATCTCAGCACTTTGGGAGGCTGAGGCAGGTGGATCACAAGGTCAAGAGATCAAGACCATCCTGGTCAACATGGTGAAACCCCGTCTCTACTAAAAATACAAAAATTAGCTGGGCATGGTGGCACATGCCTGTAGTCCCTGCCGCTGGGAAGGCTGAGGCAGGAGAATTGCTTGAACCCAGGAGGCAGAGGTTGCGGTGAGCCGAGATTGCACCATTGCACTCCAGCCTGGGCAACAAGAGTGAAACTCCATCTCAAAAAATAAAAAAATAAAAATGAGCCAAGTCGGGTGGTGCGCACTGGTAATTCCAGCTACACAGAAGGCTGAGGCGGAAGGACTGCCCAAGCCCAGGAGTTCACGACTGCAGTGAGCTATGATTGCACCACTGCACTCCTGCCCGGTCAATACAGTGAGATCCTGCCTCAAAAAATTACAATACAGGAACAGATAGGAAGTTCACTTTGCACATGTTGGGTTTAAAGTAGAGATTGCGAATGGCTCTGGAGAAGTCTACATGTGCAACTACAGGGAAGTAACAGATAGGGGAAGAGGTGGACGAAAATCCACCTCTGAAATGACCAACAGGTTTGCTGTCCTAAGGAAATCTGGCAGAAAAATTCAACACAAATTTAAAGATATTCTAGACTACAGAGGGCACATCTTATTATATTCACAATGCATATCAACCTCAGAAACCTCTTCAGCATGCACTAATATGCGCACATGGGACAGTGGTGAAAAATATGTAAAGACACAAAAGCCATTCCTACTGGACCAAGAGGCTGTGTTCCACCGGGAGATGAGGTTAGTGAACACAGATTCAAGGCACTGCCATGACTTACCTAACGCAAAAGGGCCCCATGAATCAGCCAGAGTTATCAGTCTGCCCTTGAAGCCAACCTTAATCTTAAGCGTTAAGAAATAAATTTCACAGCCGGGCGCGATGGCTCACACCTATAATCCCAGCACTTTGGGAGGCTGAGGCGGGTGGATCACGAGGTCAAGAGATCAAGACCATCCTGGTCAAGAAGGTGAAACACCGTCTCTATTAAAAATACAAAAATTAGCTGGGCATGGTGGTGTGCGCCTGTAGTCCCAGCTACTCGGGAGGCTGAGGCAGGAGAATTGCTTGAACCCAGAAGACAGAGGTTGCAGTGAGCCGAGATCGTGCCATTGCACTCCAGTCTGGGTAACAACAGCAAAACTCCATCTCAAAATAAATAAATAAATAAATTTCAATTTGTTAACAAGACCAAGACTTCAACCTCACTAGGCCAGCTGGGTTAATTTCTTATTCTATTTATTTGAGGCAGGGTCCCGCTCTGTCCCCCAGACTAGAGTGAAACTTGACTCGATCACAACTCACTGCAGCCTTGACCTCCCAAGCTCATGCTATCCTCCCAACTCAGCCTTCCTTACCTGGGAGTACAGGAGTGGGCCACCACACCCGGCCCTGATTTTCATAGTTTTTGTAGAGACGGGGTTTCACCATGCTGCCCAGGCTGATCTCCAACTCCTGGGCTCAAGTGACCCGCCCACCTCGGCCTTCCAAAGTGCTGGATTCCAGGCATGAGCCACCACACCCAGCCAAGTTAATTTCTTACTTTTGGTCCCAGCAGCCATTACTCCAAAATGCCTTCCTCTAAATGCTGGTCGCAGCCTGACCTCGTTTAAGTTGCCACCATTTCTCTGTATCATGCTAATTACTGGAGTAACTACGTATCTTAGGGTAGCCAATTGGTCTATAAACTACATAACTCTCCATCAAAGGGAGAATAAAAAATGCAGGCCTTTCTAAGGAGTTTCTATTATGAGATCGATCTCACCCTCCTAAGAATAATTTCTGCGTGTTCTGAACACACGGTGCTAATAAAACTATCTCTGATGCAAGGGAAAAATAAGAACCGCCATAAACCCAACCGCGAACTCCAAGTTGAGCCCAAAATAGGTTCAACTTTGTTTCAATCTGAAAAGTAACTTTTTGTTGCCAAGGGACAAACTGATGACTGTTGAGAACTTTTCATCCTGATTCCTTCTTACCAAAGTTTTAAAAAAAGTAAATAAAAGCTGGATTTTCCATTATCCTAAACAGTCCACAAAAGGTCAGAAAATTCCTGAAATTCGAATTCCCCAGGTCCTGGACTGCTAGCAGCCGCAGGACGGGAACAACCTTCGGTGGGATGATGGGTTATACAATCATGGTTCCCAGAGCAAGATCCACTAGAATAATCCGGCCCGGAGACAATGACATCATGTGAGCAACCAGGCAGGAAGTTGGGCTCAGAGAAGTGAAGGGTCAAGTCTTGAAAGCTCACCCTGGAGGACAACCCCTGGCCCCCAATCTAAAGAAGACAAAAGTCACCGCCAGCGGAAAAAAAAAAAAACTACCTTAAAGAGAAAGTGAACCCACAGGGAAGAAGAAGAAATAAATCAGCAAATGAAACCAAGAACACCCAACTTCAGGGCCATTCCTGCGGGCTCCGACGCCCTGGCGAGCCTCTCCACACCGAGGGGCCTCACCGGTGCCCCGCTGGCGAAACTCTTCTGCAAACGCGCAGCGGGAACAAAGCGACGTGGAGTTCGTGCCTCCAACTTTCCCCGCCGCCCGGCCGCGCGAGGGCAGGCGCCGACCCCGAGGGCCGGGGGCCGCCGCTCCGCACAAAGCCGCCCCCGACTCCGTGACAGCCACAAGTGGCCGGGCGCGGGGCTCCAGGACCGCCAGGACCGCGCGTGCCCCCGCGCCCCCTGCCCACACACCAGACCCGGCGGGACTCCCGACCACCAAGCAGGCAACTTTCCCTCGGGGACGGGGCGGACCCCGGCGCGGACCCGAGGCGACTAGGAGACCCGGGAGCTCCCTAAGCTCTCCCCGCCCCCCACGCCGGCCGCTCGCCCCGGGCACCGGAGCCGAGCCTGCGCCCCAGCCGACCACCCACCTGCACAGCTCGGGGAACGGGGCGGTCTGGGACTGCGTGGCCCCCGGGGCCGCGACCAGCAGCAGCTGCAGCAGGAGCAGGGAGCGCTGCGGGCGGCGGGAGGGCGCGGGCCCCAGGTGGGAGCTCCGGCCGGCGGCGGCCCCCATCTCTCAGGGCCCGGGCTGCGCTGCGGGCACGGGGCTGGCGGCGCGCGACTGCTGCGGGCAGCGCCCGAGAAGGGGTCGTGCCGCGAGGGCAAAGGCGGAGGCGGAGGCGGAGCGGGAGCCCGAGGTGAGAGCGGCTCGGCTGGGCTCGGCGACAGCGGCAGCGGCGGCCCCGGAATCGCGTCACGTGACCGCCGCCCGGCACCGCCCCCCACCCCCGCCCCCCGCTCACGTGACTCTCTTGTTCAGGTGACCCCCGCCCGCCCCGGCTCCGCCCAGGCCCGGGTCACGTGAGCGCAGCACGCGCCGGACTGGAAGCAGCGCGGGCGGGGCGCGGGCTCCAGGTGACTCCCGGGGCCTGAGTCCCCTCGGAGGGCTGGGCGCGATGGGGATGCCGAGCCGGGCCTCAGTTTTCCCTCCCACCGCGCCCTGCTGGATCGTGGCGGGCGCTTACCAGCTTACCGCAACTGTTCCAAATCTCGACCGACGGGTAGGGAAAAATAGGGAACTTGGATCGAAGTGCCAGGGCGGTAAATACCTTGGCATAGCCGCGTGCCAGCGGATCCGTAGGGGGGTGGGAACACACTTTTCCTGCCCAGTGGAGTCACATCATGGAGGTTTCCAACCTTGGCCCATCAGAGCCTCTCAGACCTTCTGTGGGAATGTTATTTCCCAAGCGTGGGCTTCCTACGGCAAGGAAGGCAACACAAATACAGCAAGGTGAAAGAGTGGACCGAAGTGTCGCTAAGTGCCGCTCAGCAAAGCTCTATTAACTCGCTGTGTGGATGGTCATGAGCTAGCCACAATGAAAGTAGAACGATAAATCTAAACGGCTTCAACTAAAAAAATTTACTTTCTTTTAGAGCAAACAGATACAAAATAATCATTACTGAAAATAGTAATCATCATCATCATAAAAGCTCATCTTTTTTTAGTGCTTATTCCATACCAAACACTGCTAAGCATTTAAGCATGAATCTGCAAAAACCTATGAGGTGGGAACTGACTTATAGATGAGGAACTGAGGCACAAAGATATTGAGTAAGGTACTCAGAGACACTCTGGGATGTGGCAGAGCTGGGATTCAAACACATACAGATAATCGTGACCCAATAATAGCTAATATTTCTTGAGCACGTAATTATGCGCCAAGTACTGAAGTGTTCTGACACTGATTTAGTTCATTTAATCCTAACACAGTCCTGTAAGAGGGGTACCTTTATTGCACCCATTTTACAGATAAGGAAAGTGAGGAATGGAGAAATTAAATAACTAGCTAGTCTTGCAGCTAGTTAGTGAAAAAGCTAGGTTTGAGGCAAAGCCAGTCACAAGCCTGTGACCTAAGCACTGTGCTATTAATATATTGCCCAAGAAACGAAAGTATTGTAGTGGTTCAAAGGAGAGCTCAGGTGTAAACTGCACATCAAAAAAGGGTTGTGGTTTGCAACTCCAGTGTTGTAATAGATACAACACTGATGGCAAGGACCATCAGTGAATACTAAAACCATCTGGTGAAAAATTATTGTGAACCAGAATATTCACTTTGTCTCATAGTATCACCTTTAAAGTATGTTTATTTCCTTAATAAAGACAAAATAAATGCTCACAGTGGAAAGATATGGTAGAACCACCTTAATCAAGTGATTAAAATTAGTAACACCAATTTTTTAAACACTAGCATTTTCTGGTTTCTAAAGTGATGCAATAAAAAATAGTGCTAAAGGATAATATTTAAAAGATGGTATAATCATGACTCAGATGAAGAATGAACATGTGTCAAAGGTATTCCTTACTCATTCAATAATGTGAGAACAGTAACGTGTCACAGCTGGTTCAAAGGAAAATCCAAAGAGAATCCAGCAAATATCCAGGCAGTTAGGAATGCTGAAGTAAGGTTGCCTGATAGATGGAAAATTGGTCAGTAGCCATACGTCAGAAAACAACTGCATACCCAATGGACACAATTTGCATTTCTAAAGACAAAAATCATATATATTACGATCAGTATTCTACAATATACAGAGTTGGAAAATACCTCAAAAACAATGGAGGCACAAGACCCCATAAAGTCAGATAACCCAAAAGAATGTACTAGACACCTAGCGTTCCATTACAGTTGACCACTGATACTTTTGGTCCATTTCAAAGTCTTTCATAGTTGTTCCCTGTGGTACACACTATCACTTATGTGGTAGTCTTGCCAAGAAGTTTAACTTAAATCTAATTGAGATAAAACAATCACATTCAAATTGTGAAAGATACAACAGGAAAACTGAACTGGACGATTGCAAAACATTAATGCTCTGAAAAACAATCCTCTTCCAAAATAAAAAAGTGGAAGTGCTATTCTAGATCAATGTAGCAAGCAATAACCCTCGGGTCAAACCTGGTAAGGCAGCCGTTTTGTAAATAAAGTTTTGTGGGAATATGGACACACCCGTGTTTCTGTATTGTCTATGGCTGCTTTTGCCTGCAATGACGAAGTTGAATAGTTGCCACAGAGGCTGTATGACTTGAAAATCCTAATGTATTTTGCCAAATGGCCCTCCACAGAAAAAGCTTGCCAACCTCTGTTCTAGATTAGTGGTTTCAAACGTGTGGTCCTTAGGCTGGCAGCTTTTGTGTCACCTGCCAGCTTGTTAGAAATGCCAAGGCATGGGTCTGCCCCAACCTGTTGAATCAAAATCTCTGGAGATGGGCCCCAGGAGATTTCTCTAACAAGCTCTGCAGGAGAGTCTCATACACGTGGAAGTTTGAGAACCATGGTCCTAAATTAAGGAAGACTGAAAAGGCATGACAACAAAATGCAATGCCTGATTCTTAGTTGGAGCCTAGACCCAAAAATAGAAGGTATAAGGAACATTTGGAGACCACTGGAAAATGTTTAATATAAATCATATGTAAGAGACTTCAAAGCAGCAATCCCCAACCTTTTGGCCCCAGGCACCAGTTTCGTGGAAGACAACTTTTCTACGGTTGATGGAGGGCGTTGTGGGGGATGGTTGCACATCACAAGGATGGTGCCTACTAGACCCCTCGCATGAACAGTTCACACTAGGGTTCACACTCCTATGAGAATCGAACACCACCACTTATCTGACAGGAGGCGGAGCTCAGCGGTAATGCCCTCATTCACCTCCTGCTGTGTGGCCAGGTTCCTAATAGGCCACTAACCAGTACCAGTCCATGGCCTGGAGGGTTGGGGGACCCCTGCTCTAAAGTCAAATACTGTGGGACATAATTTTCCTGTATTTCATTTAAATTTTCTGGAAAACCTGTGAGGAAACAGAGACTCACAGATGTCAGCCTTAGACCCCCTGTTATAGGTTGAATTGTGTCCCCTAAAAGGATATGTTCAACTCATAACCCCAGTACTTCAAGTGTGACCTTATTTGAAAATAGGGTCATTCCTTATAGATTAATTAGGATGCAGTTATACTAGAGTAGAGTGGGTTCTTAATCCAGGACAACTGGTGTACTTATAAGAAGGGGCAGGAGACACACAAGGAGAACGCAGCCCTGTGAGAACGGAGATGCCATGCATCTGCAAGCCAAGGAACACCAAGGCTTGCCAGCAACACCAGAAGCTGGCACAAAGTCATGGAACAGATTCTCCCCTAGAGCCTTCAGAGGAAGGGTGGCCCTGCCAATGCCTTGGTTTTGGACTTCTAGCCTCCAGAACTGTGTAAGACAATATCTGTCATTTTAAGCCACCCATACTTTGTTATGGCAGCCTAGAACACAAATAGCCAAGAACACAAATGACCCTCAACTGATAGTACAGATCCAGGCTTGGCATCCAGGTGCTCCAACCACTGCTCTATTGTCATGACCCATTCTTCCTGCACATGACATATGGTCTGACTTTTGACACACAAGCTCAAGAACAGAAATAGCAGCTACTGACGATGTCCCTGCATGGTGTCAACAATAGCAGGGGCAGGTGACACTAATAGCTGCCCCTTTGGAACACAAACCATGAGCTATCAAACTGATGGCATGACATATTGTTCTGAAACCCAGAGTCTCACCCCAAAGATCCAGGACTTTTTAGAACACCCAGAAGGGAGTATGAATCTACCAAAAGACCCTCAAACACGTTGTGATTCATTTGGGGCATTTCTTGATTCCTTAGATCACAAATAAACTGCCAAGAAAAAATGTACAGTAGCTAATACTGAATCAATGTTAAATTCCATGCGTAAGACAAAGCTGCTGTGATTATATAGGACAGTGAGCTTGTTCTTATGTGATACATGCTGAAAGTGAAGTGTCATGATGTTGGCAACTTTCAAATGATTTGAGGGGGAAAAAAGAATATATGTATAGACAGCAAGCACATTAAAAATATTAACAATCGCCGGGCACGGTGGCTCACGCCTGTAATCCCAGCACTTTGGGAGGCCGAAGCTGGTGGATCACGAGGTCAAGAGATCAAGACCATCCTGTCAACATGGTGAAACCCCATCTCTACTAAAAATACAAAAAATTAGCTGGGCATGGTGGCGCATGCCTATAATCCCAGCTACTCAGGAGGCTGAGGCAGGAGAATTGCCTGAACCCAGGAGGCAGAAGTTGCGGTGAGCCGAGATCGCGCCATTGCACTCCAGCCTGGGTAACAAGAGCAAAACTCCATCTCAAAAAAAAAAAAAAATTAGCAATCGCAAATGTAGGTGAAGAGTGCCTCTTGTGCTATCCTTTCGACTTTTCTGTAGGTTTGACATTTTTCAAAATGAGAATTGGGAGAGAGACCTCATCATGAAAGAGATTGCTTTTGAGTGAACCTGGAAGGATAGGTGGAAATTTAGGGAAAGGATGTTGCAGGCAAAAAGAAGAGCAAGGGCAAGGCCATGGTAAAATATAGAAGCTGTATTTGCTATATAAGTCCTTTTGCTTGAGCAAAAGTCACATGAGAATAGAGAGAAACTACTTTTGGCCAAAAACTGTGCTACAGCTAGATCATGGGTTTATGAAATTTAATCCCTCCCCTCAAGGAGCTCCAGTTTAGGAGATAGTCAATTCTTATGTAAGTTTGAAATTTTTTATTGTGCCCAGCTCCTAGAGGCTCTTAAATGGTCATCTAATAAGCTTAGATGTGACCAGATATGAAGTAGGGAACAGTAACAGCAGATGCAATAATACATACTGAAGGCTCGCTCTGTCAATATCATTCCTGTATTATGT